TGTGGATTTAATTAATTAATCAATTCATGAAATTTTAAATTTTATGAAAATACTGTTTACTAGTATTTTCTTATACACTTTATCTCTTTTTTTTCTTTCATGTAACTGTTTATTCTGTTCCTTTAAATGTTTTAATAAATAGCACAAAGGCGAAATCAAAATACAGTTGGGATGACTTTTTTTTATTTTGAACATGTCCAAAGTGTCTTTGGAGAGTCTCAATCATCCAGGTCATGGTCGCCCAAAGGGGTTTTTCCAAAAGGCAACTGGACTTTCTTGTTTTTTTCCTTAAAAACATTTGCTTCTCATCCAAGAAGTCAGCTGTCCCAACCTGGTTGATTAGCAAAGAAAGACTCTGGAATCCATTGTTAATGAAAGTACACTGTACTAGAGCCAAGTGCTTGCAGTGTAGCAAAGCTGGATCTGAAGTTTCATGCCCAGAGCATCTGGTTAATTCTTCCCTTCTCCCCCCCCCCCCAGTTATATCTAACTATCCAGTTACATTCAAACAAATTGTTTGGTACCAGCCCCTGGCCTGTTGGACTGGCTGATGCTGCATTCCATTGTAAGACCTTGGAATGGCTGGCAGTTCTCACAGAACAACAAGATGAATAGTTTTGACTTCCTTCATGTTAGCCCCTTCTTATCTGTCCCTGGAGCCCCCTCCCCCCATTATGAATGGCAGACTGGCAGCTCGCAAAGCATGGGTGTCACAGGATGGCAGTCCTAACACAAGAGCCAAAGAAGCTTCATGTCTATGGAGATTCTCAGTCATCAGGTCATAGTTATCTCAAAGGTGCTTTTTCACAAGGCAGCTGGATTTTCTTGTTTTTCTTTGAAGATGTTTCACTTCTCATCCAAGAAGCTTCTTCAGCTCTGACTGGATGGTGGGGAATGGAAGGATTTATACTTCTTGCAGACAGCTGCTCATTTGCCTTCTTTTAGAGAATCATTGAGGCCACCTGGAGGTTTATCTGTGCCCTCAAGCTCACCTGAATAGTGCAAATGGGTATGGAGCCTTCTTGGAACTGCTGAAAGGACTGTGTTGTAGACTGGAGATAGATGATGTCATATCCCCCCCTATTGAGAGAGGGCTGTTCAGTGTTGACCCTAGATGACCTCTTTGACCCCTCTTTCAAACCAGCAGTCCTCTCTGTCCAAAATGTGGACTTTGCTGTCTTCGAAAGAGTGGCCTTTGTCTTTTAAATGCAGATGGAGTGCTGAATCTTGTGCAGATGGGTTTGTTCTCCTATATTGTGCCAGGCGTTTATGAAGTGGTTGTTTCGTTTCCCCAATGTGTAGATCTGCACATGGCTCACTGCAATGTACTCCATATACCATGTTGCTCAGTTTGTGTCTGGGTGTTTTATTCTTGGGGTGGACAAGCTTCTGCCTTAGTGTATTCTTGGGTTTGAAGTGTGCATGTACATTGTGTTGGCTGAAGATTCTCCTGAGCTTTTCCGATATTCCTGCAACATATGGAATTACAACATTGCTTTATTTATTGTTGTCTTCGTTATCTGTTATGGAGGAGCTCCTGCTGGGTCCTTTTTGAGATTTGATGAAGGCCCACTTGGGACAACCACAGGTTCTGAGGGCTTCCTTGAGATGTTTTAGTTCCTTTTCTTTCCCATCTTTGCTGGTAGGCAGACCTTCAGCTCGGTGGTGTAGGGTTCTGACAACTCCCATTTTGTGCTCCAGTGGTGGTGAGAATCAAAATGTTAATATTGATCTGGGTGTGTGGGTTTTCTGTAAACTTCAGTGTTAAGGCTTCTGTCTTCCTTAATGTGCACTGCACAGTCCAGGAAGGCCAGACTATTTTCCTTAACATCTTCCTGTGTGAATTTGATGTATCTGTCCACAGAGTTGATGTGTTTGGTGAACACTTCCAATTCTTGTGTTTTGATCTTGACCCAAGTATCATCCACATACCTATACCAATAAGTGGGTGGAATTCCTGCAAAGGAGTTTAGGGCTTTTGTTTCTACCTCTTCCATGTAGAGATTGGGCACAATGGGGGACAGAGGGATATGACCCCACTTTGCATCTTAAGAAGACAGAACTCTTGGAATAATTCTTCCAACAGGCATCCTTTATTAAGAGAAAATGGTTGCAGGCGTTCTAGACAGGACTTGGGGTTCAAGCTCTCCCATTCAAGGTTTTAAGGGGTTCCCCAGTAGCCCCACCCAATCACCCCCCTCTTCCAGCGACAGTCTCAGGCATTACACTCCCACCCCCTTTTCCTTACTGCTGGGTGGATGGAGACTTCAAAGAAAACTACATGAAAGGTAATAGCCCCCTTTGTTATAGTTAGTTCTTTTGGTGATACACACATCCAGTTCCTTTGAAGTGTACCGAAGGAAGTGAGGGCCATAAAGCCCCTTTGTTCACCCCCTTCCCTTCATCGTATGGCAGAATCCATAGAAGGCAGAAATGGGGTTTTTTATAATTGATAACTAGAGATGAAATATAATTGGATTCTGACACAACACAGTCCTTTCAGCAGTTCCAAGAAGGCTCCATGCTCATTTGCACTACTCAGGTGAGCTTAAGGGCACAGATAAACCTCCAGGTGGCTTCAGCAATTCTCTAAAAGAAGGCAAATGACCAGCTATCTTCAAGGAATATAAATCCTTCCATTCCCCACCATCTAGTCAGAGCTGAAGAAGCTTCTTGGATGAGAAGTGAAACATCTTCAAAGAAAAACAAGAAAGTCCAGTTACCTCGTGAAAAAGCGAAGAAGCTTCAGTTTTCAGGGAAACCCAGTTGTCTTTTGGAAAAGCACCTCTGGAACAACATAAGCTCCTTCAGAATTCCATCAGGGCTTCTTCTCAGCTTTTGCTTCCTGGACCAACACTACTGAATCTTCCTCTGTGTCCTGACCTGTTTCCATTTACTGTATGTGTCCGTAGGTTTCTTCTGGTGGCCTCTTCTTTAGAATGGCTTGCAGTTGTGATTTTGGAACATCCCTCCCATTTTGATCTTGTTTTCCTATCAACTTTCCTTCCCATGGAACCTACTCAGCTTTGCCATGAGGGGGTTTGCCTTTCATTTGTCAGTAAGGATGCAAACTTCATTGTTGTTAACAAGGATTTTCTGTTGTTCCTAAAACAATTCTTGAGAAAATCAGTTAAGAAATGAATACTGGCTGCCCTTCATCTTCAATGAAAACTGGTGCACAGACGGTGGTGTTCAGTTGATGTGCTATCTCATTATCTTCTTTCAGATTTTCTTCAAATCTTTTGTTCTCTGGGGATTGGCTATTTGCATTTTCCCATGTCTTTTACAGTTTATTTACATAAGTTGTATATGTACGTAATCCTTTTTGCAACTGTTATTGCCTTCTATTATGCAAATGTGTCTTCTCTGTTCTCATCTGGGCAACATTCTCCTTTTCTGAAGGAAAGCTGCTTCTCCTGTAATAGTGTTCTTGCCATTTCTCATTAAGGATGCCAGTAGCCTCTTGAATTTGCTTGTGTCTTTCCCAATCTGAGCTGAGCATCCAGGCTGAGCTTTTATTAATCGTGGCATTGGAGGGGATCTTGGAAGCTACCCAGCCTCCTGATCTGAATGAAGGCATCCCAAATAGATGGCATCCAGCGTCTGCTGACAGACCTCCATCAGCTGTTTGGGCTTTGTGGCTTCAATAAAACCCAAATATTTTGGACAGATTTGATCTGGGTATTCTTGTTTTCCCTAATCTCCAGCGTTTGTCTGTATGTGCTAAAAGTCATCAAAGGGCTAATCTTTCAATTAGCATATTCGGCTATGCAAATTTCACTGCAATGTCGTATGCTTTAAATAATATATCTTTCTGTCAGCTGCTGATATTGAAACAATGGCACCCATCCATCTGTGGACTGTTCTTTCAAGGGCAGGCATTATTTTTTCTGGGGTACAGTATTTGTGTTTCCCATTTCCTTTGGGTTCCTTCTAAAATCTTTCATTTTACACTGTTGGGCATGAATAGATCCGTGTGTCTTAATATTCGTGGACTAGATAATTGTCCATTTGTTAACTGAAATAGAGCAGAGTCTCTTTGCAAGAGATTTCTTAGATAAGAATATTTTTTGACGGCCATCTCTTTTATTCTAAGATGGTTCTAGTCCCTGGCCTCATCATGCTTTAATTACAGTCGTGTTGGTCCTCATTTTGATAGCCCAGTAGTGGGTATCTTCATGGCATCTTTGAGTCAAATAGCAGCCTTCTTTCCCCCCCCCCCTCCTTGAGATCTCTGGATACAGGGTATTCCTTACTGCAGATGTCTGCCTGCCCAGGACTGTTCACCCAGAAAAGTGGCTGGACTCAGTACTGTCTCCTTGGCCCAAGTCTGAGACGTTTATTAATTGTGGGGTGTTATTAATTTGCATTTCATTATACAAGTAGCACTTAAGGGATGGCTGAGCAGCTTCAGCAGCTGTTTCTCAATGAGAACATTGTGTCTTTTGAGAACAGGCTTGGACCAAGATGACAGGCCGAGTTAGAGTTTCCCTCTGTTTCCTGACATCCTAAATGGAATGGATGCTGCACATATAATGTGGCCTTAAGTCAGGAACACCCGTGGGAAGAATCTTTTTTCTGTCCTTGTGAGTTGATTTTTTTTATTGGACCAGAGGCCTCTGGGTGACTCAGAAGAGCAGCAAAAGACAATTCCATTTTAAAAGATTCTGAGTTAAAAATAAAAACCTGAAAAGAAGTGAATATATAAAGCTCTGCCAGCACATGGAGCGAGGGATAATTGGAGAGTGGATTACCATGGTACTGAATACACACAAACACAGCACAGAAAATTGTGACTCTCCAGCCGGTGGGTATTTATTTCTTCTGCAAATAAGCCACGTTGTATTTAATTGTTCTGGAGGACTCAAATGTACTTCAGCCGTGGCAGGACGTGTCATCACAAATTGAGCCCATTGAGTTTCCCCACTTGTAAATGCATGAGAGAATGGATATTGTTGCCCCTTTACACCATTCAGGGTCTTTTTTCCTTTCTGTTTTAGTACGAGATGCTAAAAATCTTGTTCCGATGGATCCCAACGGCTTGTCAGACCCATATGTGAAACTCAAGCTCATACCTGACCCAAAAAGCGAGAGCAAACAGAAGACTAAAACCATCAAATGTTCCTTGAACCCTGAATGGAATGAGACCTTCAAATTGTGAGTATTGCTAGAGGAACATTTGAATGTTGGGTGTGGTGTGATTTCTGGGGCATCCAGGGCTGTGGTGGCACAGGGGTTAGAATGCAGCACAGGTAATCCTTGACTTACGACCTCAGTTGAGTCCAGAATTTATGTTGCAAAGTGAGAAGTTTATTCAGTGAGTTTTACTCCATTTTACGACCCTTCTTGCCACAGTTGTTAAGGGAATCACTGCAACTGTTAAATTAGTCACACGGCTATTAAGTGAATCTGGCTTCCCCACTGATTTGCAAAAGATGATCACGTGACCCAGACACTGCGACCGTCATAAATATGAACCAATTGTCAAGCATCCAAGTATAAATCATGTGACCACGGGGACACTGCAGCAGTCATAAGTGTGAAAAATGGTCATAAGTCACTTTTTTCAGTGCTGTTGTAACTTCGAAAGTCATTAAATGAACTGTGGTAAGTCAAGGACTACCTGTATTGCAGGCTAATTCTGCCAACTGCCAGGAGTTCGATCCTCACCATCTCACGGTTGACTCAGCCTTCCATCCTCTCCGAGGTCCGCAAAATGAGGACACAGATTGTTGGGGGCCACAGGCTGACCCTGTAAACCGCTTAGAGAAGGCTGCAAAGCGGTATATGTCTATGTGCTATTGTCAATGCTATCCATATCTTAAAACAGGCAGTCAAGAAAGGGCATAATGTTGCTGGACAAACATCTCGTGTCATCCCTTCCTCCAGATCCCCCACTATGTAGGAAACCAGAAAGGGACTATAACTTAGACAGAACCCAGGCAGAAAACCGCATATTCGGATGCCAGGTGAAGGAAAAGACTTCCCCAATGGCAGATCTTGGACAGCTTTGTCTCCAAAAACACTGGAGGTTTTTAAAGACGAGATCGGTCAACCATTTGTCTGGAATGGTATAGGGCAGTGGTTCTCAACCTGTGGGTCAGAACCCCATTTGGGGTCGAACGGCCATTTCACAGGGGTCGCCAAACAACGCAGTCCGCCATTTTTTCCCCCCTTTCCTTAGCTGTGCTACTCCCTTTTATTCTATTGGCTTTTGAAAGCCAATAGAATAGACTCTCTTGAATAGAATCTAATTCTATTGGCTTTCAAAAGCCAATAGGAATTGTCCAGGCTGTCTCTGCCCTGCTGAGCCCGCCAAAAGTCCCATTTTTCAAACGGTGCTGCACCAGTTGAGTAGTCCTTGACTTACGACCGGTTGAGTAGTCCTCGACTTACGACCGGTTGGGGGACGCGGCATTAAAAAGGTTGAGAACCACTGGTATAGGGTTTCCTGCTTGAAGAGGAGGTTGGACTAGAAGACCTCCAAGGTCCCTTCCAATTCTGTTATTCTGTTACTCACAGCATAGACAAGAGTAACCGAGATGAAATTATGGTGTTCCTCAAAGGGAGGCAGCTTCCAAGAAGTTCTGCTCCCTGCCTTAATTTCCTGGGCAAACCTTTCAGATTTCTTCCTCACCATGGGGCCTGCTGCAGCATAGCATGGGAGGGGGGAACCTCTGTGCCAATGCTTCCTCTCTGAGAAGAGGCACAGCGTTGGCAAGGAAGGGAGCCGTGCTGAGCTTCAAGCTGTCAGGGTGCCCAAGGAGAGAAATCTACTGCCATGCATGAAAGTAAAGCTAGATCTAACATATCCCGCCATCGTTCCATTCTCCATCTTCTTTCTGTTTTTTGTTGCCAAACTTTCTGGGATTTTCAGGGCTCTCCATCTCACATCCACCCCTGCTTAATTTATTATAGTTCGCAGCTTCAGATGCCTGAAGGCGGGATTTTAGCTACCTGCAACTTCCCTAGAATTAATGAAGAGGGAAAAAATGTTGCATTTTAAGAAAGGAGAATGGGGAAGTAGTATTTCCCCCCCCCCTCTCCTCCGCCAGTCGGAAAACTCAGAAAAATATAGTATAACACTGTGGGATCAGAAACTGACATTTTTGAACATTTTCATTTGAAAGGGGCAGTGTGTAGACCAGGGCTCTCCAAACTTGGCAACTTTAGGACTCGTGGACTTTAACTCCCAGAATTCCTCAGCCAACCATGCTGGCTGAGGAATTCTGGGACTTCAAGTCCATGAGTCTTAGAGTTGCCAAGTTTGGAGACTCCTAGGTTAGAATTTCAGCATTAGGGGCGCAGGCTACTCTTGAAGACCACCCCAAGGATGGGCGATGACGGGTCAAATGCATGGAAGCTTGCAGAAAGCAGCCCCTTCCCCAGAAAATAGCATCTTAATGTCTCTTCTCTCCCCTCCTCCCCCTGTTTTTTCCAGCCAGTTGAAAGAGTCCGACAAGGGCAGGCGACTATCGGTGGAGATCTGGGACTGGGATCTGACCAGCAGAAATGACTTTATGGGATCTCTCTCCTTTGGCATTTCAGAGCTGCAGAAAGCCGGAGTGGATGGCTGGTATGGTGCCTTTGTCTCTCGGGCCCTCAGTGGCTCTCCAGTTAAATAAAAGCGGGGGTGAGAAAAGGAACAAGGAAAGCTGTATGGTGGTGTTTGAGCTTTTTGGGGAACCCCGCTCAAGCTGATGGCCAATAAATGTAAATAAAGTACATTCATGAGATATGTTAGAAATTGCTGCAATTAGTGTGGAAAAAAAATCTAGTCTCCACACACTGCACATCTTGCAGGGGCCTTTCTGACTTAAGGATGAGTTTGGCCTATTCTGCTCCTGTCCTGACACGCACCGCCAAGCGACGTCCCCTGGACATGACTAGGATTGCAAGCCTAAACTCTAAATGCCACCAACTTTTGACAGAAGCCTGTCATGAAGATCTGCCCTCTCCCCCAACAGACCCTGGCCCGTGTTTTCTGGAAGAATCCAGAAGAATCTCTAATTCTAATTTCTAACCCTCAAGGACAGAGTAGGCGACTGTGGTCCATCAATGGCAGTGAATCCATCTTAAAGTCACCCTGGCCAGTCTGGTCAAGGTCAAGAGATCCAGTAGACGTGGTTCAGCAACAGCTTCCTCAACGCCCCCAACAACAGCTGGGTCTGTTCAGGACCGTCCTGCCCAGATTCCTTCCCCCTCCCAGGGACTAGTTTATCACAAACTAGGGCTGATCATTTTTACCACCATTTTTGCCGGAATGGGACAACTCGCTTCGGTCTTCTCGGCCCAGCCAACTTGCAACTCAGAAACCTTGACTTGCTTGCATGGAAAGCTTTGGAGCTTAGATGGAGAGATGGGAGAAGGGGGGGCTGGGGAGAGAAAAAGCAGATGCCCTGGCACTCACCCTGAAGGCTGCTGCTGTCACTCCATTTTTTCCACATTTGGCTCCTTGTGGCGGAGTGGAAGTAAACAGGTCAATCCCAAGAATCCCCAAGGAATCCTTCATTGAGCAGCTGGAGAAATGCCACTGGACCGATTAGGAATTCTTTGTGGCTGAGTAAATTGTCCCGGAGAAATCTACAACTCCTTTTAAAATGAAGCCACCAAAGAGCCTCTAGGAATAGAATAGAGCTGGAAGGGACCTTGGAGGTCTTCTAGTCCAGCCCCCTGCTCAAGGAGGAGGACCTATACCATCTCAGGCAAGTCTCTTCTTAAAAATCTCCAGTGATGGAGCTTCCATGATTTCTGGAGGCAAATTGTTCCACTGGTTAATTGTCCTCGCTGTCAAGAACTTTCTCCTTAATTCCAGGTTGCTTCTCTCTTTGATCAGTTTCCAACCATTGTTTCTTGTCCTGCCCTCTGGTGCTTTGGAGAATAGTTTGACCCTTTCTTCTTTGTGGCAGCCCCTCAAATACTGGAATACTGCTATCATGTCTCCCCTATTTCTTCTTTAGACTAGCCAAACCCAAGTCCTGCAGCCGTTCTTCGTATGTTTTAGTCTCCAGGCCTTGGATCATCTTAGTTGTCTTCTCTGAACTTTTTCCAAAGTCTCAACATCTTTTTTATAGTATGGGGACTAGAATTGGTTGCAGTATTCCAGGTGTGGCCCAACGCTCACCGTTTCCCCTATGCATTTTGGCAAGGCTGGAGACACGAGACTTGTACCTGGATGTCAGCAGGGTAGAAGAAAACATTTCACTTCTCATCCAAGAAGCTTAATCAGTTCTGATGGTGGCAGTATAGAAGGAAAGGTACTGACAGGTGAGGCTGGATTGTGGGGGGATGGAAGGAACATATTTCTTTGTAAACCTCTGGACATTCGCACTCTCGCTGAGAGGCACTGAGACCTCTTGGGGCTTTATCTGTGCCCTCAGGGGCATCTGGAGTGCAAATGAGCTGAGGTGGCGCAGCAGTTCGAGTGCAGTACTGCAGGCCACTTTAGCTGACTGTGTTCAGCAGGTCAGCGGTTCAAATCTCACCGGCTCAAGGTTGACTCAGCCTTCCATCCTTCCAGGGTAGGTAAAATGAGGACCCAGATTGTTGGGGGCAATGTAAATATATATACACATTGCTTACTGGTGTACACCGCTTAGAGAGTGCTTGCACTTAAAGCGGTATATAAGTCTCACAAATAAATAAATAAATAAATAAATAAATAAATAAATAAATAAATAGGTATGAAATGTTCCTGGAACAAAGTCCACGTTCTGGATAGAGAGGATCATTGGTTTGAAAGAGGGATCAAAGGCCATCTATGTTAAAATTGAGCAGCCCTCCCTTAATAAAGGGGGAGGAAGAAGACACCACCCATCTCCTGTGTACAACATAGTCCTTTCAGCAGTTCCAAGAAGATTCCACCCCCATTTCCACTCTGATCAGGGCACAGATGAACCCCCCCAAGTAGCCTCAAGAGTGCTCAGGGAGAATGCTAATGACCAGATGACTACAAAGAAATACGATCCTTCTCCCCCCCCCAATCATTTCTTCTTCTTCAAGGAAAAAAGAGTCCAGTTGCCTTTTGAAAAAGCCTTTGAGACAAGGTATCTTGAGAGCCTGACAAAGATTCTCTCCGCTACTCTCATACCAAAGAAAATCAAGGCACAGCAATCTTAGGATTCTTTCTGACTCACTCCTCCCTTCCATACCTGAGCTGGTGTTTATGTAACACCGCTGAATACCTTTGTCAAGTCCATTTCCACACTCCTCTGTGACTCTGTAACCATTAGGAATCACTATTCTCTGAATTTCTAGGACAACTACAGAAAGCATTTTTTTTTTTACCAGTGTCAGAAAACACACTATGTTTGGATGAAGAAGAGCCATACATATCTCTTCTGGAAAATTTGAATGCATGGCGATATCTTTGATTTATCTTTCAATCTGTACATCTGTGTAAGATTTATAAATCTTTTGGGTCAGGATAGGTGATAGTTCATTTGGATGATTTGTTCATTTATTCTGAGGATCCAGCTATACCCATGGAACAGAATTGATCTATGCTTGATCAGCTCCCCCTACGCAGCCTTTGTGCTAAGCTGATAAATGTGGCTTTGATCTGCCTTGCATCTCCCCAGTTTAATTATACTGGAAAAAGAAACTTTTTACTCTTCTCCTGATAAAGCTCAGTGTTCAAGGGTGTCTGAAAAAAAAAATCATTAAAGGAGGGGAAATATACAGTACTACATTTCTAATAAGAAAACAGAAGGTAAAGATTTTTTTTGGACAGAAGTCAGAGGAGGAGCAATCAGTAATGGCAATATGAAGGTTTCAACATGATAAGGAAGGTAATGAAACAGTTCCTCCCTCTTTACTAAAATTCTGGCTGAGTTGAAAAAAAAATGTAATTAATGAATGGACAGAATCAATTACAAGAAGAAGTTCCTAAGTTGTCATTTACAGAACAACAGAGTTGGAAGGGACCTTGAAAGTCTTCTAGACTAACCCCCTGCTCAAGCAGGAGAGCCTATGCCATTCTGGACAAATGGCTGTCCAGTCCCTTCTTAAAAACCTCCAGTGATGGAGCACCCACAACATCTGAAGGCAAGCCATTCCATTGGGTTAATTGTTCTCACTGTCAGGAAAGCTTTCCTTAGTCTTAAGTTATTTCTCTCCTTGATTAGTTTCCATCCATTGCTTCTTGCCCTGCCTTCGGGTGTTTCTGATGATGCACTCAAAGAATTTAAAAGGAATTCAAATTCAATTCAGGCAGCCAAAAGAGAGTTTCAAGGCTAATATGGAAGAGGGATATGTTTGGAAGATGACTTTTGCTGTGGCGACATTGGGATTAAAATATTAAAGAATTGCATAAAGAATGGGATAAATAATCTGTTGGAGTAGATTGACTTGATGATTTATTCTCAGAATCCTTCAGATGCAGAACATGTGTTCCAGATAGGATATCCAGGTGCCAGAAATCCTGGGTAATAAAAAAAGGAGCAATATTAAGTTCTCACTTTCTCGTTTTTAAAAATCTATTGTGCAGAAGGCCAGGACAATGAATTTACAAAATCCAAATTCATCAAAAAAATGCCTGTTGAAAAATCTTCAGAAAAGAAATGAATTGAAATATTTGAATGAATTCCTTAGAAAACCTGAGAAAACTTACTGCTGAACATTCCTCTCTGCTTTAATTTTTAATTTAAATGTGAAGAAGAAATTTGTGTTACTCATTTGGAAGGGCGAGGCCCTTGTCTTGTGAGAGCCTTGAGGACTGTCTTTGAGAGATCCTTGGTACTCTGTGCGCTTGGTTGTTTCCTTGCAGACATTTCACTACCCAAACTAGGTAACATTATCAGTTTGCAGGGAGGAGGAGGAGGAGTCGTCCTAGGTGCTCTCTGAGAATAATTGTTTTCTTGCAGATGTTTCACTACCTAAAGTAAGTAACATCATCAGTGCTAGTATACTGGGCTGCAAATATTCTCCTTCAGAGCGTCTTTGCTCTGCTGTGCTCTCTGCACAGACAGAAGGGATGGAAGCTCAGATTGCTCGTCTTTAGGGACCAGCAGCATCCGCATCTGATGGTTACCCTCTGGGCAGCGTAGCCTCTGATGCCTGCAGCCGCTCAGGCAGCACTTTGTCTGGCAACTCTTTAACTGGCTGCTCGCTGCATGTCTTGTCAGAGTCCAGGCAGCCATAACAATTAACAAAGGCAAATACCTTGAAAAGATAACACACCAGCCGAACTGTTAGCTTATCAGTTGCAGAATGGGCAAAATAAAAGGATAGCTTCTATTTGGCTTGGAACTAAGCATATCTGTACAACAAGTGATATTACCCAGGAATTGATCAACTATTTTTTTGAAATTATACTGCAGACAGCAATGTGGTCCAGTAAAAGTTGAAGAATATTTAGATGGAATATTGCATAGAATTTGCTGACCAAAAAATAGCAGTTTTTAGTTGAGCTGAAACAAAGAAACAATTTAAAGTTAAAAATGAATAAAACCCCAAGACCAGCTTTTCAGAAATTCCAATTAAACTTATTTTATTTGGAAACCATTTCTGGACTACCATTGTATATATAGAATTGTGCCACAACCCGACTTTGGATTCTAGAGTTTATATTTCAGT